TATCATGTATGTCATACTTAGTCCTATACTCTATACTAATATATCTAAAAATACAAGACGTATACTTTTTTTCGTACAATGCTATGATGGACTCATAGCAGTACGATATCGGCGATGTTGTGCATGATTTTGGAGGTTCTAGTGCTTTTATAATATGCTTAAGTAAAATGATTATTTGGATTAATATTTCCATGTAAGAAAATAAGCATATAACAATTTAAATCATAAAAACTCAATCAATCAAATTTATCGCTATATATATGTATGTCTAGTGCACAAAAAACCAGTGTTCGCCTAAACGGATTAAACGGCTGTTTAAACGGCCAGTAAACGGTAAACGGTGATAAACTGTTTTGTTTAAGGGATAAACGAAAACTAAACGATTGACCGTTTAAACCGTCAAAAAACGGGAAAAAACGACCTAAACGGACTAAACGGAACGGAGATAAACATCATTAAACGGGCTAAACAGCCGTTTAAACGGCCGTTTAAGCGAACACGAAGTAAATATAGTTCAGTTTTGTATGAATAAATTTGTATACTTAAGTTTATTATATTTATAAATGTGTACGCTTGATATGTTACATGCATAAATATCTATATTTAGTTCTTTTTGCATGCACAAATATATATACATACCAAACTAATTGATTTTTACTCGGATAAATATGTATAAATACTAGAATACTTGATTTTTTATATTCACATATATAATTATATGTATTTTTTTTTAAAGTACAAAACCGTTTAGACCGTTTAACTTCGTTTAAACTCCGTATAAACAGCCTAAACGCTAAACGAAGGGCGATTGTGTAAAGACCGTTTACCGTTTAGGAAAACATTGCAAAAACACATAAATAGATTTATATTTCACGTGTCTTTTAATTAGACATTTATTTTCGCTATAATTAATAATACATTGTAAGAAAATTAACAATTAAAGTATATAAATAATAATACAATGTAAGATAAATTAACGGCTAAAGTATATTTTAAAAGAATCTCTCAATCTAATAGCTAACGATTAATATAAAGGGGTAGTGAAGGTATGATGGTTTTGATTATGAAGAAATAGGCACCAAATTTCACCTCAGCGAGGGTTGAACTGCAGTGAGGGCATTCGTGTCGCGTCGACGTGCGTGGCGCGGCGGTTGGCGTGCAGGCGCGGCAGCGGCGGCGCTGTGGGCAGGAGGGCAGGCAGGAGGGAGGGCGGGCGGCTCGCGGGCAGGCGGGAGGGAGGGCGGCTCGCGGGCGTTATTTATCTGGTCCCGCCGCGCCGTGGTCCATGGCGCGTCACTGCCGTGCCACAATCGGTGGCGCGGCAGACCCTGCCACGTCACCGGTCAACGTCCCGGTCGTTGCCACGTCACCCCTCTCGCCGCGCCACCATACATGATGCGACACAGGCTTTTCGTCGCGCTATGGTAATAGACGCGGCCAAAAGTGTTAGATTTTAAGAAAGAAAACAGTGTTAGATTTAAAATTCGTTTAAAAAAGGTGTTAAAAAAAATCGCCGTCGCAGTTCCTGCACGTGGAATCATCGGTGGGGTGGCCAGGATGAGAGCTGAGAGCGACCCTCGTGTAGCCGAGTTCACACGAATGAAAACAAAAAATGGGCATATAAAAAGAAAAAAATCGGAGGAAAAATTTGTGATGGGACTGGACAGCTTGTTCGTTTGACTGTGATTTGTCGTAAACGATCGTAAATTTTCAACTAAAACAGTATTTTTCTCTCATATAAACCAGCCAGCAGTACTTCTTCACGAATCAGAATAATACGAACCAGCCAAACGACGAACCAACCAGCCAAACGAACACGCTGCTTGTGTGTAAACACTGAACAACAGAACTAGAAGGAGCAGCAGCCGACGTCGCTGTCACCGTCCGTCTAGCTGATGGTGAGCGATAACGCCGCTCGGGCCGCCGCGAACGCATCAGACATCAGTCACCGCCCCGATCAATCGTTCGACAGCAGCGAGGACCGCATCGGCATGTGGATCGCACGGATCTTTCGATCGGGAGTTGGAATTCCCAGCTCCACCAGCAGCCGGGGATCGGTCAGCTTCGAAGGAAGCAATACCGACAAGTGGTTTTCTCCCCGTTTTTTTTTCTCAAAACGAATCGTTGGAGTGGCTTTAACTTTTGGTCTAAGTTCTTGAGAGATGGCGTGCAAGATTTGCAAGGATTACTTAGCCGCGTCCTCTCTCGACCCGGCTGTGGTCTGTGGATCAGTGGATGGAGGATGGATGGTATTCGTTTTCCCCCCGTCGCGTCGATTGACGTGGAAGCAATTCTTTTTCATTCCGTGATGCACTGATGCGATGCAGAGTGAAGCGACGGCAGTTGGATACCCGGGTGGAATTCAGCTTCGGCAGATGCCGTTTCGTGCCCTCCACAGAGAGGAAAGAAGGCAATTCTGGCACCGGAATTAATTATAGATAAAAAATATCAATATTTATGATATAAAATAAATATTATTAAATTAATTATAAAATATGTTTTTTATAATAAATTATTTTAAAATCGTAAATATGAATAGTATTTACTATAAATTTAGTCGAACATGAACTACCATGGCACGTAATACGTGGTTGCATTCTTTTCTGGACGAAGAGAGTACGTCTTTTAGAGAATTTATACCGGTTGAAAACTAAGCCCATCATCGTCAACATATCTCGTCCGCGTTTCCTTCAACGATAATACGTCTGATTCACATGCTTCTTCCTTTTCCCTTGAAAAGTCCTCAGGTTCATTCCCCTAAATAAACATGAACATCTGGGGCCTCGACAGGCTGTGTGTCAGGTGCCAACGACCACTACGCTCATCCATCCCCAAGTATAGGTCCCGACGTTTTGTTATAAAATTAGTAGATTGCAAGACAGAGCAGGTATACCAGGTGATCTAGAAAATTCTGCTAGCGGGTCAAGTAAGCGAGTGACGTCTTTGACGCTGCGCTGCTACACCACTTGCAGCTTCAACTCTGGATCCTGACTAAATTAAGCAGAAGAAGAAGAAGAAGAGCTTGTTCGGCTGGCTAGTTGCCGTCTAGCTGGCTGGCCAATCCACGCACAAAATCACTGTTCATATTATGTTAGAACAGTATTTTTTCTCATAATAATCAGTCGGAACAGTATTTTTTACTCCTGCCGAACAGGCCAGCTTACGCTTACCGGATATGATTCAGCAGGGAGAATAACCAATAGGCAGACAGTGCGACACAATCACAAATTTTAAATTTATATGTGTAGTGTAGTTCGATCTGCAGTTGCAACTGAGAGCCATACTCATCAGTCATCACTCAGCGCACTTGAGTATTCCTTCCCACTAGATGCAGCCTAAGCTGCAGATCTGAACTTTTCAAAAGCTGCATGTCCACGTCCACCTACTAGATTGCAAAAAGTTTTGCCGTTTCATTTTCTAGGGAACAAGTTCGTTTTTCACCCCTGACCTTTTGCGTCTGTATAATTTTACGGGGTAAATTTGGCACTTCTGCTAGTACCGTTTAGTTTTGGCTCTGCAATCTAGTTTTGATGGTTTTCTAATGGTTTGGGTCCACATGTAAGACACTCCATCTATCTTCCTTTCTCACCATGTCGCCTCCGTGTAAGGTGTGTCTGTATAACAAGATCCCTCAACCGTGAATAAATTGGAGCTCGCTAAGTCACTCAACTACTTTTGATTCACTGTGTAATACTCAATCAATTCCAAATTATAAGACGTTTGACTTTTTTGACACCAAGTTTGACCACTCGTCTTATTTAAAAATTTGTGTAAAATATCACTTCTTTCGTCGTGGTTTGGTTTATTAATAAAAATTCTTCAAGAATGACTTAAATTTGACTATATTTGCACAATTTTTTTGAATAAGACGAGTGGTCAAACTTGAAGTCAAAAAAGTCAAACGTCTTACAATTTGGAATGAAGGGAGTACAATTTTGGCACTGTTAAAACATTGTTCACTACTACTATTTACCTTTTTTACTGTGTACCTTTACTATTTGCATTTTCAATATCTAATCACCATCTCTTCGCAGCAGCAGAGGAGGCCGCCGCCTGCCTGCCGGTTTGTTTTTTTTTTGCTGCTAGTGTTTTTCTCATAAAATTTCAAAGATAAACAATATTTCATCTTTGCGGTGCAAAATTTCATCCCAGCCGAACACTCCCGCGCCTCCCTCCCACTCCATCAGCCGGCACCGTGCCCGACCGTAATAGAGATGTGTGCTCGAAGAACTCTACCTTCCTTTTACCTTCTGTCAACCCACCACCGCAGGTTCGCAGCCCTCTCTCCCCATTTCTCCCTCATCAAACATGCATACAACGAGATTGCCCACACGCAAGTATGCAATGCGCTCCTTCTGTCTATATATACACTATTTTATGATAACAAATGTTAAGACCCTATTTGACATAGCTCCATTTCATTAGTGTTGTCATTTTTTCTTTAGCTCCATGAGCAGCTCTACTGTGAACTTGGTGCTATTTTGGTGATTTGTTTGATAAAATAGTTCTGTACGTAGAGCTTCTTAAAACATATTCTCACACACTCTCAAACATAGGCCATCAGAGTGAGTTGGAGCAAGGTGAAGCTATTATTTTTAACTTTATCTTTTATTCATTGTGAGAGCATGTTTTAAAAACCTCCTCAAGTGGAGCTGTTTTATTTTGCCTGCTATTCTAAAGTTGGTAGAGAAGATGTGCCAAATGAAACCTAGATATTTTTTTTTTACAACAGAACCTAAATAACTTTGACTTGCTTCAGAAAGGTACACAGTACTCTTAGTAGATTGTTTTTCTAATAGAAATACTGATAATGAACAAGATATAGTCTGTACTCCTACATGGGCTTAAGAGTTCATGTTGGGCTGATCCATACCGCGTGGCCCGCCATAAAAACAGATCAGGCAGAAGGCGGCAACGCCCACTCCATTTCCGCCACTTCCCGCCATCGACTCTCCGCATTTCCGCCGCCGCCAGGCTAACGCTGCGCCGGCGAGTCGGCGATGGAGATGGAAATGGAGATGCCAGATCCGGACGAGCTCGAGTGGATGGAGAGCCACGGCCTAGTCCCTGAGGAAGAGGAGGACGCCTACTTCGACGACCCCGACGAGGGCTTCGTCCCGCCTCCCGGCGATTCGGACCAACCGTGCGATTCCCCTCAGCCGCAGGACTCAGCCGCGCTACGAGCAAGTATGCAATGCACCCCTTCTTTGTATATCAGAACCTAGCCCTCGATTGTTTCTATTGCTAACTAAATTGGTCAAACACGTGCGAAGATGAAGCGTTGGGCGGTTTGAAGCGGCCTCCGCCTCCGCCACCGCCGGAGCAGGATGAGGAAGAGGAGAGAAGTAAGCGGAGAAACGTTGAGCAGGAGGACTCGGAGGACGAGGATTGCTGCGATACTCGCCGCCTCCCGCCCCTGAAATCTTCGTCGCCGAGAAGACAATCTCGCGGTTCGCGTCGGAGATCCATGGAGACTCTGTGCCCGTCACTGCCCCCAATGGGGAGAGGGTTTATGCCAAGCTTGCAATGGAGGGGTTGGTCGGTCGAGGAATTAGCGGAATTAGGCAAGGGGCTCACTTCTCCAACCCAAACAGCAACCACAAGGGTTAGTTACTGAGTGATTTATTGCTCGCTCTTACAGTACTTATTTCTCTCAAGATTGAGGATGCGTTTGGTTTGTTTGTTCACGTCGTATGTGTTTCTGCAGGCCTGCTCTCAGAATCCTTTCACTCATTAACAAGGCGTGCTGAGCAGGAGGCTTTAGCTAAGGTACATATGTAGATGCACACGTTAGGCATATTCTATAGATCACACTTCATGGCTGTCCTAACACGTCATTGTTTAAATGTTTAGTTATAACTAAACTGGGAGCAGTAGTACAATCTAAACTGAACTCTAAGAATCAAATGATCCTTATCTGGGAAACACTGGAAATTTAGTGGATATTGTTGAATAGTACTAGGAAAAGATGGTTACTCTTGCTACTTGAGTTTTTTGTGGAAATTTTAACATTTTGCCCAAAACGGGGGTGCATGTGCTCTTGTTCCTTGTGGATTTCACTACGAAAAATTTCCACAAACATTCCGTAAGTTAAATAATAATTCTATTGTTGAGTGGTTTAGAAGACAATGTTTGATTCTGAGCATTGGATTGTTCATAGGGTCTTCCAAGTGTACAGTATGACCTAACCATGTCTAGAACATGTATTGACTACTAGCTTAAGGAAGGGCTTGACTAATAATTTTTTATGATTGGTTATATACTTATATGGCGTGATGATTAAATTATAAGGCAATTGAAGTACTTGACTAACATACTTTTCATTATGTATATGCAGGCATTGCAGGAAAGTACAGACTCAATAGACCGTGTGGCTTGTTCAGTGACTCCACTAGTCACAGAAAAACTTTGGGTGGAAAAGTATGCACCAAATTCTTTCACAGAGCTATTAAGTGATGAGCACACAAACCGAGAGGTAAAGCTATTCCAAATTGCACCTTGCTACTTCAAAGTCAAGGTTTCCGTCTTTTGCCTAACATTTTCACTTGACATATGTGTATGTGCCTTGCTCAGGCACTTCTATGGCTAAAACAATGGGACTCCAGTGTTTTTGGGTCCCATATTTGGGCAACGGGTGATGATGTCTTATCTGCCTTACGTCGACACTCTTCAACCATCCACAAGAATGCAAGTAACAGAAATTTCTTTTCCAAGAGTAAGGGGGGTCCTGTTGCAAGTCAAGATGACACACCCCTGAATGCACAAAGCAGCAATCCAGAAGGTTTGGGTGGCTCCTTCAGCAAAAAGGCATCAGTTGATAATACACCAGAACAAAAGGTGGGCCAGCACTGCTGTGTCGTATGTTCAAGTTTGTGACCAAAAGCTGTCTATAAATATTTGCTGGTTTGTCACGCACACGCTGGTTCACTACTGCAATTGAATACCCTCCTGATGTTGCAGGTGTTGCTACTATGTGGTCCACCTGGGCTTGGAAAGACCACACTTGCTCATGTTGCAGCCAGACATTGTGGCTACCATGTTGTGGAGGTCTGTGTTATGGTCATACAATGCTAGCAGTGCGTTGGTTGTCTAACATGATGATGCATGACTATTAAAGATTTGTGTGCTATATGATTAGTGCCGTATATATCTGCTGCTATGCTTCCAAATCCCCCTGTTTCAGTTTTGTTACATTGAAGTCATGACTACATTTCATTGCATAATATATTTGTGTCAATGCTATTATGTTACATTGAAAGGTGAGACCTAATTGATTTTCCTTCTATTAACGTTTGCTCCAAAACTTAAATTGATTTTCCTTCTCCGGGAATTAACGTGCAATGCGAGGAGCTTCGAACCCGGACCCAAAACTTAAACACTGCTTCTAGTTAAAAAATGCTTGAGTGGTTGATTTGACTAGTTGGCCTGTTGAGCTCTAATGCTCCCATGGAAGATAAATTGTGGTTTTTTTTTTTTTAATAATGGGGAAGATAAATTGTGGTTGGTAATCCATCCAATATAGTCTCCTACTGAATACTGGTCTGTCTTAGTATTATTAGAGTATATCCACACGATTTATCATGGACACTTCTAATTTAGCTAACCTACTTAATTCCTGTTTTCAATTCAAGTTCTGTATGTTGCTTTCATTCAGTATTAAATGCAGATTAATGCCAGTGATGACCGTTCTGCTTCATCCATTGAAACAAAAATTCTCGATGTAGTTCAGATGAACTCGATCATGTCAGATTCGAAGCCCAAGTGTCTGGTACGTTTAATACAGCTGCTACTTTGTCCAATAGCTCCTTTTCTATTCTGTTGAGTGTTCTGTCCTGTTTAGGTAATTGATGAAATTGATGGAGCGCTTGGTGATGGAAAAGGTGCAGTGGAGGTCATCTTGAAGATGGTAATCCTCACCTGACATCTTATTTAGTACTTTGCTCAGCTTTACTTATTATTTTCGGCTTGCATGTATTTTTTTCACCTTACCAAACAAGTTTTTTGCATTACATGGTCTGTTCTCTCGCAGATCAATGCTGAAAAGAGTAATAATTCCGACAGGAGCACTAATGGTGAGGAAACTCAAGCCCGAAAGGCATCTAGGAAAAGTCATAGAACAGCAAAACTACTGAGGCCTGTAAGCATTGAAGCTACACTCTTTGCCACCATTTTTTTTTGTCTTTAAAGTCTATTACTCTATTAGATACAATAAGTACTAATTATACAATTTTTAAATGTAATTTGTATATGCAATGACCTTTATGCTCCAGCCCTGAGACAACTGCGCCAAGTAGCCAAGTAATATATTTCCTTCTCTGTACTCATTATGTGTTTGGTACAGTTGTAAACCATTAAATGTTTGCTTATGAGGACTGGTTTAAATTGACAGGGTTCATGTGTTTGTGCAGCCGACAATTAACCGCGTGGTGAACAGGTGATGTGAATGCACTTATTCCTTTAGCTTCATCTCATGACAAAATTGGTTGTAGCCACAAACATACTTTTATCACAGCCCATCTTTTTAATACTTCACTTCTCCTTAGGCTCAAGTATATATGCAAAAACGAAGGTTTCAAGACAAGCTCGATCGTGCTTTCTGCATTAGCGGAGTACACTGGTACAGTTTCTTTAGCTTCATCCAAATGACACATTTTTACTTTGAAAGAAAACTGACAAATATTTTGAACTCTTGTTGTACAATGAATTAATAGGATTCACAATTCATTAACATAAAATACTAACATCCAGCTGTTCAGCCTGATTAATAGAAATCTACTATCTTAATTTGCATTGCAATCTTTGACCTGGCTATGAGGCTTTCCTTTCATTTCCTTTTTCCTTTGCTTGTATCGTGAACTCTAATACTTCCAGTGGATGAATGGAAACTCTACTATTTGCATGGACTATCTTTGCCCACTGAGATGAATGGTTTTTTTCATAGACATTGGACTGATGAGAAATATATCCCTGCAGAATGTGACATCCGTTCATGCCTAAACACACTTCAGTTTTTGAACAAGAAAAGAGTGGCACTAAACATTGTAAGTGAACTGGTTTAGTTACCAATATGATGATACTATCAATATATATGATATTATTTACCTAATGATACGTGTTGTGGAGCAGACAGCGTTCGATTCACAAGTAATTGGACAGAAAGATAAGTCAAAAAGCATCCTTGACGTTTGGAAGCAGGTTTGATGTTTTTTCCCTGTATCCTCTTCTGTAATTCTCTTTTATTTTCTGTGTATATAATCATTTGTTCAAGCAATTGGTGTATTCCTGAAGTTTCGGCATTGACTCTGAACATGAGTACCACCGCACCAATCATAACGAAAGCCATCTTATGGACCAATGCTATAGTGACTGCAGCTAAACATACTTCTCCAGCCTTGCTATCAACTTTATGAACCTTACCCTTCTCTCCTTTTTTTTAGAACTTTAGGGCTTTATTCCCCAGTCTTAGCAAAGCCAAGACGCATGTCCGTTACAGCAGAGGTGGGGATGCTGCCAAGCAGTTCTCACACCAACCAAACAACCACTAGAATTTGAAAATAACATCAACCGAGAAGTATCCCCTGCGCCTTGCAATCTCCACTACACCAAAGCAACAACGCTAGACAACGTGCCGCACTTTGTTGGCCCCTAGCTTGTTCTCCCAAACACCAGAGACACACAAAAAAAAAAAACCTATAGCAATGTTGTCTTGAGTGTCAGATTCCTGAGGTCATCCTCCAAGATTAGCCTGACAGTCTGATCAGGTCTGCCGCCAGCGACCTTAGCACAGCAATAGTCTTTTCCAGAACTTGTTTTTCTTTCACTGGACACAGAATCATCCAACCTTGTGCCTTACCAGCTATTCTTTCCAGCAGCTTCTCCAAACTGATCCAAGAAGAAGGATTCTAAAAACATATAAGCATTTCTTAGTTCCCATAGACCCCACAAGTCTGCACTGCTAATGATATTCACTACCAGAAACAATGTGATGCAACATTCTAGAAGCTTTCTCTGAACTAAGAAAAGCCATGTTCTTACATAAAGAGGCCTTGTTCTACATCCTTTTGCTTCTAGAAAGGCACATGCTTTAATATTTTCATCGAATAGACATATGCCTTCTGATTACCCCTGTTCTTATATTTAAATCAAGTATTAGGACCCATGCTACCAAAGTTTCACCCAAAATCATCTTATTAAGTTTCGTTGTTCCTCAGGTTTTGCAAAAGAAAAGACTCAAGCGGTCTGGAAAGGCTGAAAGCCTTTTCAATGAAGACAAGGACATAGACTCTCTCTTCACACTCATATCTAACCGGTAAAATTCTCTTTTGTCAGATTTCTTACATTGTTTCTTTGAACTGGCATCACTTATTCATGTTAAATATTCAATTTGCAGTGGTGATTATGAAGTTGCTATGGATGGGATCCATGAAAATTTCTTGAGACTATCGTATCATGACCCGATGTTGCAAAAGACTGTGAGTATCTGTACAAAACGCTATTCTTGGTTAATTATGTTAGGTGTTTGGTTTGCACAACTCTTGATTTTCTTCCTTCTATAATTCATTTTCATACTTACTATAGCTCAAACTGCCATGCAGGTAAAATGTCTCGATATACTTGGAGTTTCAGATTCTTTGACCCAGTATGTTTACCAGACTCAGCAGATGCCACTTCATGGTAGAATCAGACTGGCTGTATATTTTCTTTTTTGTATTGAGATTTGACTAACAAAGTTAAACCACTTGTTTCAGCATATCAACCTCCAATTGCTATCACTATAAGCCGCATGGTTGCTCAAGTTGAGAAGCCAAATATTGAATGGCCAAAAGCTTTGCAGAGGTAAATTTTTCACATAAATATATTTTTTGCTTCCCATTAGTGGGATTAATGTAGATATTTTTTCAGGTCTCGAGCATTGCTTTTAGAAAAGAAAGACATGTTGAAGACCTGGCAAAACCAAATGTCACCATTTGTTTCAAGGCACCTCTCAGTAGAATCATTCGTTAAAGACATTGCTTCCCCCTTTTTACATATTCTCTCTCCAATGAGTTTGAGACCTGTAAGTTGTCATTCACTAATCTAGTAATCTTACCAAACCTTGATAGGGAAATTACTCTGTTGGTATATTTATTTGCTCAAAACTCACCTGCCTTCAAGATGATGAACAAGTGAAGGTTAGTTTTGTATGGTAATATATGTTTCTAATACTTTGAACTAGTTAAATATGGACATAAATGAAGCGCGGAAGTATGAAATTCATAGCTTAATTGTTATTTTTGAAATAATATAGCAACTAAGAAATAGGTTTAAGACCCTCAGTCAATCCACATTTACTAGTTCAGAACATATGAGTTCCAGATGGCGTTGCAAGTTTCAATATAGGCCTATATTTTCATGACTTTACAAGGTTTCTAACAATGCATGATATTTTCAGGTAGCACTGAATTTGCTGTCAGAAAGAGAAAAGGATGAACTTGTGCAGCTAGTTGATACTATGGTCTCCTATTCAGTTACATACAGAAACACAAAGTTTGTCCCTCAAGAAAAGGCAAACATATCTGTAGTGCCCCATGAAGTTTCATCACTCTCTCTTTATCCTCCAATCAATAATGTCATAAATTTCAAGGTATGTCTAATATTTCAGTCTTCATTATCAGTTTAACTTATGCACTCTTATTATAATACCTAACATATCAGTTGATATCAGGGCTATCAATCAGAGCACATTGGTCTGTCTTTAGCCATGAAACAGGTTTTGGTGCATGAGGTGAGTGGCCCTTCTAAATTTTAAGGATGCAAAGTTGTTTCATGTTTTGCTTAGCTCTTAATACCTAGCATAACTTAAATAACTTCTTAATTTAACGCTGAAAACTAAATGCATACCCTCTTGTCTCTTTGAGGTGACCATGCATTGTTTATATATGTCAGCAAGTCACATTGGACCTCTAAAAGTAGCTGAGAAAAAAGCACCTTGCATTGCCAATTAACAAAATTTTGTTCATTGATTGTGACTATATGACCCAGCTGCCCTTTTGAATAGTTTCTCTTGCTGTACTAACGGAGGTTCTGAATTATTCAGTAACTCAATATGTGCTCTTGAAATATTATGTTGATATTCCTTATGCCAAATCTGGTGCTTGCTCACCTTTTGTTTTGGCTTCATTTATTTACATGAGAATCTGAATAAACCAAATCAAACAGGGCCAAGGTATACTTGGTCACATGAGAAATTCAGTGTTAGAACAAAGTGATTTTTTCCCCTCATCCTTGTGAACATACTATCCTTGATACAGGTAGAGAAGCAAAAGATCATTAAAGATAGTGCTGGCAAATTGTTGAACCAATCTAATGATGGAGATATGAAGAGCGAAGCTTTATCAGCTATAAGGAAGAAAACAGTAGCTAATTCCATCCATCCAGCTTTACATTCTTCCAAGGAAAGTTCCAATTGCAGTTCATCTACCCTTGAAATGCAATCAAACTCAGCCTCTAATGTGAATGGTAAAGATTCTGTACCTGCCAAAAAACACTCCAGTCGCGGAACAAATTTCTTTGGCAGGTAATGTAGCAATATTAAATTACTATTAGTGAGATGTCAACTTGCCATTTTACCTGCAATTATGATTGTGGTGAAGTTTACCTACTTTGACAAAAACAGGTTTAGGAAGGAAAGACCAGTAGATACAAAAACTCGTAGCGATGTGGGGCTGCAAGGAGGAACACTTCAGAGGGATTCACGCCCTCTGATCTTCAAATATAATGAGGTGTTATTTCTATCCTTTGCTATGCCAAAATGCCTCCTTTGACCTGCTTCCATATAATAAACACATGCACTAATAATCCTGTCTCATGGAATTCATTGTCCCTCATAATTAAATTTGCTGGATGTGGTCCTAGGTCCAGCATGCTGGAATATGGATTCCCAGGTTGAAGTTGTCATTGGAATTGGGAATAACCCTTTTTTAGAAGTTGTTTTGCTTAAGCTTTTGGAAGGAGAAAATATTGAGGACATCCATAAAGTAGTAGAAAACAACATTTAATGTGAGGATAGGTGAAACCTAGGGCCACATCCAGTGATACATTAGATTTTTTTTTTATTTGCACGCTCCCAACTAAACGCTGTCAGAATGTTTTTATTTCTCGAACACGCAGGATAGCTGTGTAGTATATCATTGTATTAAAGAACCTGAGCAGAATGCAGCTAGCTAAGTGCTATACTAACTCCATTGTGTAAAATTGATTTGCTATTTAATGTCATTATGTTTAATCAGTGATTCAATCATTTGATGCTTGATTAATTTTTTTTGTTGCCAAGATATCTTTGTGTATACCAGTGTCCTGTAATTGCACTGTCTTTGGACTAGGATTTTCCAAGACTCATGGATTTTCCTCAGACTCATGAAGGTGGCAGGGTTTACATGTTGTCCTCTTAGGGGTGTTTGGTTCTTTAGGAAATTTTTTAGTCCTGTGCCATCGGATGATCTGCATGAAGTATTAAATATAGACGAAAAAAATAACTAATTGCAATGACTAATTTGCAGGAATTTTTAACTAATTAAATGCTGTGAAAAGACCAGTGATTAAGAGGTTCGGGATCTTCTGTAATTAGTTAGCATCCGAACGTTTGATGTGACATGGACTAAAATTTATGCGCTTGTTCTGTAAAGTTATCTTGTTTTGTTATCTTTTTGTATTTGTTTGTGAATTATCCTTTGCTGTATATTGATTATATCATGGATATTGTAAGATAGAATGAACTATTGATATCAAAATTGAAATTCCAATAGTTAGTAATGTCACATCCTTTTTTTATGATGAGTATGCCTCTTATAGACTCATTATCTGAGGATGGCTCAACTAGATATGCTCCCTGTGTCCCTGAAAGAATCAATTTCTAGCCAAAAAATTTGTCTCCAAAAGAATTGATTCCTAGAGATGAACGGTCCATAAATCCACATTAATCTCTCACGTAGCCTAGGTCGCATTTAAACAACATCTCTTTTCTACGTTGTTATTGGATACTCTAAACGACACTACTTATTAGGCTTCTCGGTAACTAGAGAGCTATTAAGATTCAATAGTTTAACGAGGGGCAACATGGTCTTTTATCTTCATTACTAATCTGTCCTAAAGTTGTTAGAAATTTATTTTTTCAGAGACAGAGGGAGCATGTCCTTATGTCAAACACATGACCAAACGGCAATCCACATATGACATATTGCTGATACTCTGCTCATATTGCGACAGCATCAACTCTTTGACTATTGAGACAACTGCCAGGCAAAATCTCTTGGGACCATTTCTCCATAGTTGAGGAATGGTGGACGTAGGTCGGCACCACTCTAAATGCATCAACCAAAGGATTTAAATTCATCATCATGCTAGTTTTCTGAGAATTGTGGAAGGAAAGGAGTGCTCGATAATATTCAACGGCAAACAAGCTAGTAGCGAAAATCAAGTAAGAAACGAAGTGGTGGGCGCTTGTTGGCTGTGAGAAGATAGGAGGATTGATCCCTTGAGAAATAATGACCTATTTGGTAGGGCTCGTTTGGGCTCTGGCTCCTGGAGGAATCTACCAAACACTTTGCAGGAGAAGCTAATTTTTTTATTATTAAAAACAAACGGCTCCTCTAAAACGATTCTCGTCTTCTTAGGAGGAGACCTACCCAACACCTCCTAACTATTGCATCTTTTTACAATTTTTGGTTCTTTTTTTTCTTATGCCAAACTTTTTTCTTTATTAATATACTTCTTGCAAAACTCAAGCTAGATTTTTTTTTTGAAAGAAACGCCATGACTACCAATCGTCTAGGGGAATCTTTAGATCTTCCTAGGTGACTAGGTAGCATACTGGCATTTAAGGGCTTCCTCAACACTCTGTCAAGCTGCTCCATTGTCCATGTCCACAGCAGAGCTCCATGTCACATCAACTTGTGGCCTCGCGGAGCGTGAGTCTCGGGCCCTCCACTTCGTTTATTAAATTTTTTTAAGAAACAGCGTGTTCGGATTTTTGGATTTCGAATGGTTTTGGATAATTCAAAAGTGTTTCTAATTATAGAGAAGATGAAAGCCGTGCACCAGCCGAATTTTAAGTATAATTAAATTATAATTAAACATTAATTAATAAATAATAATGAAAATGATATCGTGCTTATTTTACAAAAAATTTTACATCTAAACTGGGCCTCAGAGGCTCCTGCACAAGAGCCTATAGCCTCGTCGGACACAAAGACAAAGCAACGGATCGGAGCAGTGGTGTGGCAATGAGGCAGTAATTGTAGGGACCACTAAAGAGAGAGAAACACATGTGAACTGATTTCAAGAATAAAGGTAGGGCCCGGGACCAAAGATAGTGGTGGGACCATAGGAAAAGAAGATGACAGTGTGCGTGGACCGGAGAAATATTAGGCTGTGTTTAGTCGTAGGAAGTTGGAATTTGGAAACACTTTGTCCCAAAGCAACCGTTTTTATTTAGTAAATAGTATTGCGGCATATGATTAATTAGGTTTAAAACGTTGGGTAACTCACCAAAGAGAGAATTAGTTTTTTTGAACTGATTTCAAGATATTAAGGTAGGGGATATATAGATAGTGGTGGGACCATGTGAAAGAAGATGGATTTTTGTGCCTGAACTGGCTTCAAAGAAACACGCGCTGAGTTTCGGTGGTAGCTCTCTTACGTGGAACCTAAACTTTTTTCTGAGGCTAGCGGTGCTGTCTGCATGCGTTGTTGCTGCTCTAACAATGTGTCACTTCCCTTGGACCTCATTGGCCTTTTTGGCAGTTATTAATACTTTATTTTCAAAACCGTAATATTGCAGCTTAAGGAAAAATATTCTTTTTTTATCACACTCCTCCGCTGTATGGCCTTGTATTAATCAAAGATAGCTCAACTGAATCGTGAGCTACGGCAACGTTTACACGGCTAGGAAGGTCATCCGTCCATACTTGCACCTGGCCCGGATCCCATTCTCTAGCTAACTGAGTAGCCTCGTGCGCAGACGAGTTAGCCCTTGTTTAGTTCCATTCCAATTTTCAAAAAATTGTTATAGTCACTGCATACACGAATGTTTGAATGGGTACGAAAAAGAAAAACTAATGCTTAAAAGCCCATGTTTAAAAGATTAAAACGAAAAAGAAAAATCCAAATTTCGCATGAACTGAGGGCTTACGTGAATGGTACATTTAAAAGCCAAAAGATCTGACGTTGGCTTTGAAGATCATTCCGCTGGGCCGAGATCTCTAGAACAAGTTCGGTACAAAACATTGCTCCATGTGTTTCGAAACATGTTCAGAAATTTGGAGGTGAATCCACTTTGTTACTTGCCCACCTAGGTGTAACGGAAGATGGCTCACGAGAAAATGGACTAGGAAACCAACACCATAGATGTCCCGCGCTCAACAAGAAAAAAAAATCATGTTGCTTTTGAAAACATAATATTGTTTTTTTTTGCGATAAATAATATTGTTGTTTTGAGGTACCCATGAAGTACGAGTGTCTCATTATTATCTTTTTTTTTAGATTTTTTTGAGAATAGTGTCTCATTATTATCTTTTATTTTTAGGGGAATGTCTCATTATTATCTGAAAATGGCTCTTTCTATATATAGAGAGAATTTGAAATATGGCTCAATTTGTTTGTTTGTACTGTTGCCCCATCCTGGGGCCTACAGGGATTGGGCCGCCTTCGTAGCCTTCGCTTCGGGCAGGCCCACTGCCGCGTCTCATTCATACGCTTGTGTGAACAAGTCTGAAGAAAAGTCGTCGCCTCGTCGGACAGCCGAACAGCAGCTAGCAGCGATGGGAACCGTCGGCGGCGGCGGCCGGAGCGGCACGATGAAGCAGCTCAACGTGGGGGGCAAGCTCTTCTCGCTGGAGGCAAGCTCCCTTTCCCTCTCCCTCTCTCTCGGTTCCCCTTCCCCCACCCCAACCTTTGTGGACCGCGACCCAGCCCTCCTATCCGCCGTCCTCGCTGCCATCCGCTCCCCATCCTCCGCAGCGTCCGACTTCCCCGCGCGCGTCCTCCTCGACGAGGCCAACTTCTACGGCCTCCACGCCCATCTCCTCGCTGCGCTATCTCCGCCGCCGCTCCGCGGCTTCTCAGCCTCCCTCGCCTCCACCCTCTGCCCCGCCTCCGAGCCCTTCCCCACCGCCCTTGCGCCGCACCACGACGGGTCGCTATGCCTCGCCCACGGCGCCGGGCTGGTCACCTATTACTCCTCGGCGCTGGATCACCACACCACCTTCCGGACCCACCTCCACCGCATCACCTCCCTCCTGCAGCTGCCCCCCAGACTCGCCGTCCTTGGGTCTGACTCCGCTCCTGGGCTTCACGTGTACGACTTTCTCGACGGCGAACATGTCGCCTCCGTTCAGTGGTCGGATCCCACTGACACTCGCGTGAGCAAGGCGAAGGTCGTCGCCGTTGCGGCCCGTCCTCCTGCTGATGTCGCTGACAAGAATTCACCCATCTTGGCAACGTTTGAGTGCCCTCACCGGGAAAACTGCATCCTGGCGGTTGACCCTGTAACTCTGAAGCCCACACAGGAGATTGGCCGGCAAAGTGGTAGTGCGGCTAAGTCATCGGCACCAGGTCGAGTGGTGCACCTGCCGGCACTTGGGCTGGTGTTTGCCTCATCCGTTAGTTCCGGGGCATTTGGCTACTCTGGCTACATGAGGCTATGGGATATTCGGTCTGGGAATGTGGTGTGGGAGACAAGCGAGCCAGGGGGAGCTGGAAGAAGCAGTAGGTTTGGGGATCCATTTGCAGATGCAGATGTGGATGTGAAGCAGCAGGCAATATACAA